AATAGATGTTGTTAACTAGTGTTTTGGGAGCTCAAAAATCAAATTTGACGTTAAGATAAGCTCTTTTTGTTAAGTCGGCAAACACTTGAACTATTGTGTAAAATACCGTTTTTGGCGAATTATATTGAGCAAAATAGTTAAATGGTGCATAAATATTTTGCTCCTATGGGTTAGTATAAGGTATGGACTATTGCATGAAATACTTGTTGGTAGCAGTGAATATGGTTTAGGCCTTTTAAAAATTGTAACAAAAGTGTTAATGGTTGTTAGTTTGAATTGAACCCTTAACTTTTCTAAGTACGGAAAAGTTGTCAGACAATGCTATTTTGACATTTAATTTCTAACAAAAATGTTTAAAAACTAGCTACATGTTTTGGTACTGTTGATTGCATCAAAGTGAGTACTTGAGCATGGTATAGGTGGTTGTTGTGTTGGGTGTCATGTTGCTCTCGTAAAAATTGCCCAAACTTCATTGGAACGCGTTGTAAACCATGTTGATTGGCGCTCTATTCATGAACCGACACTCCAGCGATGAACCCAAGTTGGCATCCTTTTATCTCCCGCTCGGGTTGCTCTTGGGTCATGACGATTGCTCCTCTAGCTAGCTGGTAGTGTCGACTTTAGGATAGTAGGATTGGTTGGACTTCGGTTGAGATGATCGGCATTCTTTGCTTCGCTTTAAAATGCATGCACGGCACCGAACGTTGTGGGCATCGGTCTCACGCCGTGGCCGAGTCGCGGCCGTGGATCAGCCATGTGCACGGATGGTGCCTCGCAACACCTCGGCCTGGCGTTGGCCGGCCCCGGCTGGCCGCGGTCTGGCTCCCGCTGTGCCTGCGCTGGGCCGAGCAGAGGTTGTGGCTACCGTCGCTCGGTCAACATGGCGTCCATCTCAGCCCTCATATCACCTACCATGTTGTGCCCTTGGAGTATGCTGCTACCACCGTGTCTGGTCGTTGGCCCGGTCACAGGGGCGATGGGATGCCTTCCTACCTCATTTGCCCTCGCTAGCCAACGCCGGTGTGACCGACTTGGGTCCGGCCGCTCCAATTCAAGCGCGTCGCATCGAGCCACCTGGTCTCGTCACCTGTGTGCACGAGCTCACTCTGCCACCATCGATCGGAGCACCGCTTTAACACGCCCTACCCATCGAGCTCGTCCGCATGATTTTCCCCAAGACGTGGTCTCAGCCTGGGCACCGCGCCCGCCTTTCAAATTCACCAAGCCCATGGTTTCTCAGCCCATCTCTTCACGTTAGTAGGAAGCAGAGGATGTTAGCTAGACACTAATTTTGGATTTTTGCTCACCACCAGTCATGTGCGCCGCCGTGACTAGAGGGTTGGGGGTAAGGCCTCTAGGAGTGGTAACAATTCAATTGCTCGTAACCCTGAGTTCGCCTTGACTCCCTCCATCCGTTGCTCATGTTATTTTGGCCAGGGTGCTTGTCATTGGGGGGTGACGCGCCGGTGTCCATCACAGAGCGTCGCCGCCTCGCTCGGTCGCACGTGGCCAGACCATCACAGCGCTCCCCTGCTTCAACCGTCAGTAGGGCGTACCCCACGGTGAGCCACTGATACTTATCCACCACTTCTATTCTACCGAGCGTACGTAGGCTCGCTGGAACAGTCGCACCGCCGCCGTGGATAGCCGCACAGCGCTGCAGCCCATGACAGTGCGCCTCCGAGTCCCTAACCGCCACCCATCCTTGCGCGTATAGATGTAGATGGTGGTCGTTCCCTTAATGTCGTCGTAGCGAGCCTAGTTTGCCCGGCGTAACCGTCTTGTGCCGTCGGCTGCCGCGCCGGCGCGCGGGGAGATCCTAGGGACCTCCCCATGGTAAAGGCGACAACATCCGAGGGTTTGGTTGCAAAGTTACTAACGGTAGGAATAGTGCGCATAGTAGTCGTATTATCTCTGAAAGCTCAGGGGCCTTTCTGCAAAATGGCCAACGCGCGCGGGCTCCCCGGCCTTGGGCCGTACTAGGCTGTTGCGACACGCGCGAGCCGTTCCGCGCTGGGCTGTCGGGCCAGAAGGTGTTGCTGATGGCCCTTTCCTTTTTCTAATGCATTTTCTAATTTAATTTCTAAGGTAAACTTGTAAATTCCATATAAAATTTTGTAGTTAACCACAAATTGTGAAACCAATTTTGTTAAGTTTCTAAAATTATGATCTATCTACTAGTATGTTTTGTTCACATAGTTTTATAATATTTTCAGAAGTGATCTAATTAATTTGAGGCGTTTAATATTGTTAAGATATAAACTTGCAGGAATTTTTGAGATAAATTGGTGATAGTGTTGGCTCTGAAATTTTGTAGCTCCATAATAATTAATTTGCTAAGGTAGCTAAATGAGCCCTAGTTCAAAAATATATGTTTAATCAACAAAATGTCGAAACACCTTGAGATTTTAGAATTAAAACATTTTTTCAGAGACAGCCTTACTTGATGGATTGGATACGTAGACTAGTACGTTAGTTATTAAAGCTGGCTCGTTAGCTTGCGGAGCGTAATCGTATTTTAAAGTTGCAGTTGCCATTGATTAATTGTGTCTCTGCGTTGCATCCACGTATATCATAATAGGAACAACGATGGACCGTGGAGATGACCGAAGTAGCAGAAAAGATGGTTCCTTGATGATCGTGTCACCATGAGGGAATGCTAACTTTTGGTTATATCTTACCCAAGCAAGCCCCAGTGCATAACCCCCTATTATTCTGCACTTTATCTTATACTTGTGCATTAAGTTTTAAGGAGTTGAATAAAAGACACTTGCATATATATATCCTTATCCTATGAGTCCTACTAGTATGTCAGGATCGTGTAGATTGCTATGCTATAGGATCCGGTAGAAGTCGAGTGATTACCTGTCACTCGCGAGAGATAGGAAAGATATTATTGTTGTTACTATATTACTATCACATGAAATATATATGGATGATAATTGGAGACCGGGCGGAATGGTACTTTAGATCTGGCCTTGGTTTGGCATTCGAGCGAGGCTAGAATTGCACTTGTTTCGCCAATGTCGACTGAAGACCGTCCGTTGCTGTGGATGGTAGTCAGGTCACAGATTTATTATCCTGAGCACATACTTGCTTATGGGAGCGGGAAGACTCGTTACGCTCTTGTCGTGGGTTCCGACTCTTTCCAGACTGACTGATTGGAGGTGAGGAAAGGTGGAGGTCTAAGCACCATACTGAGACCATGTCTCAAGTGTAGGGGCTTGGAGTCCAAGTTTGGACGAGGACCTAGACCCTGTGACAGGAGTGGAATGGGTTGGTCTTGTTTGTACCTGGGTTACAAACGGGGCGTGTGTTTCGGGGTATCCAGCTGGGATACATTGGTTTGTGAATCGCTGTTTCCGTGAGATGGTACAACTTGACTATGGTCTAGCACCGTAGTAAGAACTGGAATATGAAAGATAGTAAAATAGTTCTGATTGCTCACCACCTGCTTGAAAGTAGCATAGGTGCTTAAATTGAATAGTTAGTTAATGAACTAATGATGACTGCTAATAAAATTGAATATAAGGACGCACGTTTAGTAATGCTTCCTGTAGATGCAATAACCCATAAGCCAGATAGCCTTGTATATCTTTGGAGTTTTTTATTTTCCTCCTGTCGGATAAGTCTTGCTGAGTACAATCGAGTACTCAGGGTTTATTCCCCCTGTTGCAGGTGATCGAAGGATACTTAGAGCTGACTCTTATGTGTGGAAACCTCCTGATAGAGCCAGAGAGGATTTCTTTAACGCTACGACCGTAGTGTTTATTTATAACCCTTACTAAAGTTTTTTTTAAGAAAAGATGTAAAATTTGATAGCAGCTCTCGTATATAAATGTCCCCTATGTTAATACTCAACCATGTCATTAAATTAATCTTTGCTTCCTCTCTAACTCTGATAACATGGTTATATTCCGTTGTTATAATCAATTGAGATAATATTATGTTACTGTAATAAAGTGACGTAAGACATGACTTAAGAATGTTATAAGCTTTATTCTCTCATTTATGATCCTGGTGAAAAAATGTTGATTTTCGAGTTCTCTTTTGGGGTGTGCTCGACGGAACTGCGTAGTTTAGTGTCCTCTCTTGAGCACTTAGTGTTTAATAAAAGACAAGTACTCTTAAAAGGCATTGAATTGGGCGGTTCCGCCACAATGCACTCCGCGTTCATGTGCTAATTATTTCTTTATATTATTTCAGCAACGCATATACCAGTCCATATGTGAAGCCTAGTTGTATCAAAGTCCAAAGTATTGTTCAGAGAGTAATCAGGTCTAAACCCTTAGATAAAAATCCGTTGGTCAGAAAATCAGTTGTCAAAGAGCGAAGAACACACGAATCTGAGGGTGTTTTGGACTACTGCGCTTCACATTTTTCAGCTCCGTTCTATGTTTTTTAAGTTCAAACTGTTTCAGCTTCATATACTCTGTTCGAGAAAAAAAGATAGAGTTATGAGAGCACTTAAGGAGATGCTTTAGAAACTCTAGTTTCTTATGAAATTGCTCCATGGATAGAATTTGTAGAGCAGAGTTTGTGGAGCAGTCAAACACATCATTCAAGGACCAGGTGTCAATTCAAAGGAAGCCTGACACTGTACGAGTTCGGATTATTAATGAGATTCCGAGAATCATACACAAGGGACAGCACATATTTTTAGGAGGTGCGTTGGAAGGACGTTGCATGAGGTATTTGGATACTAATAAAAAAATAAATTACATAATCCATCGGTACTGCACAAGACGAATTTTTAAGCCTAATTAATCCGTCATTAGCACATATTTACTGTAGCACCACATTGTCAAATCATGAACTAATTAGACTTAAAAGATTCGTCTCATAAATTAATCGTAAACTATGCAATTAGTTTTGTAATTAGTATATATTTAATACTACATGCATATGTCTAAATATTTAATGGGACATCGACTAAAATTTAGGAGTGACAACCAAACACCACCTTAATTTCTTTTATTTTGCACATGCAAGGTGGTCAATCAATGGCCAGCAATGAAAGCAACCACTCGATCCATCAGCGCAACGGCCTCGGGGCTGCCGTGGCCGGAGACGAAGAATGCGTGTCCCTCGTCTTGTGATTCGAACCACTCCACCTTCCCCCGCCACCCGCTGGCCCTCACGGCCTCGCAGTACGCCCGGCCCCTCGGTGCCCTCGGGTCCTCCGACGCCGTGCACACCAGCAGCCGCTCGCCCACCAGCTTCGCCAGGCTCGGCGCGCCAGCGGCCATCGGGTTGATCCTCGGATCGTCCAGCCCGTCTCTCGCGCCGGGGAAGATGGCCTCCCACCTCCTCTTATTAGCTTGCCAGAATCCGTCTTCCTCTTCTTCCATCCTCTGCTCGCCGGCAAACGAAGGGTGGAGCAGGAGCACGCCTTCGACGCGTGGTGGTGGTGGTTGTTCCGCGGCGTGCAAGCCGCTCACGCCCGCGGCGATGGCCATGTTGTGCGCGATGTTCGCCCCGGCGCTGCCACCGGCCACGAAGACGCGCCCTGGGTCGCCGTGAGCGGACAGCCACGGGTCTGCTGCGCCGGAAACCGCCCAGTTGAGCGCGGTCCAGGAGTCCTCGTAGGCTGCAGGGAGCGGGTGCTCAGGCGCGAGGCGGTAGCCGACGGAGACAGCGACGACGCGGGCGCTGGCGACCAGCGAGTTCATGTAGCGGTGGAAGTCAGGATCAGCCGGTGAGCCCATGACGAAGAAGCCGCCGTGGAAGACGACGAGGATGGGAAGCTTCGCCGTGGCGCTGTTGCTGTCGTTGTCGTCCGACTGGGGAGATGACGGGGCCGTATGGATGGCTGGCAGGTACAGCCGCGTGGCGACGCTGGTCTTGGCGTCGATGACCACGTCTTTGGAGGTGACACCGGTGTCGGCGTCGAAGCCGGCGGGCACGGTTTCCATGCCGGCGAAGCGCTCGACGCGACCGTCGCTGTATATCTGGAAGACACCGCAATCCACAACGATCTCCGCGCTGCCCGAGTCCATTGCGGCCCGGCGTCCAGCAAGCACTCGATGGACCGTAGCACTCGACTGATGAGACTAGAAGAACAGGGCTATCCTATATATCCTCTTCCTCTGCAGACTGCAGTTGTATGCCTGTATCGGTGGAGTATATGATCAAGTTATTGTGCTTTAGTTTAGAGCACGTTAATCACGTGATCGTGATGTGCTCAACTTGAGGTTATACAGCATTTTCTTCTCACGTACTCCTAGTACTAGTTGTCACAGCGACTTCTCCTGAAATAGTCACAGCCGCAGCCTCGTACGAGAAGAATAGAAGATGCAAAAACTTGTAATAAATTCGATGGATACTGATGCCTGAAATCCTTTGGTCGGCGCATATCGGTAAACGGCTGGCTGCTTGGAGCCCGTACGTGACAAGAAAAGCATGGGCTTGGCCCAATAACAGAAGTTTCGGCCCATTTGCTTGGAGTTGGTTTATTTTATTTTATTTTTTCTTCTTTCCATCAAAACCAGCAACGGTCAACAATAAAAATTTATTAGTTTATAAACGTATATACAAAGGTAGAAGTATTTCCTTGAGCAACAAGTTTGAATATAAAATATAATAAGCTTTCGATACTAGAACCATCCAAAAATTTACAGAACAAAAAGGAACAAAAGGAGAGCTACCTGAGCAGAGTATTTTAGTGGGCTACTGCACATGATTTTTTTTTTGTCTTACATTTGTGCTCTACGATGTGTATGGTAAGGAAATATGTTTTATAGCCCCCAACCCATGATTTTTTTTCTTAACCTTAGTTATAGCTAGTTTACAATTAAAATTATGGATATTATATATATATATATATATATATATATATATATTTTAGTAAATATGATGTACTAAAATTAGGGTGCAACTAGAACCTTTCAGATCGCCTGATTTTCTTGAATAGCATAAAGTTAGATCTCTGGATCTAATATGAGGCATAGATCTTAAAATTGGATGGGTATATTGTTGTAAGCCTCTAAAAACCTTGGTAGTAGTCCTAGTAGACGCTCTAAAAAGAAACACTAGTTAATGTAAACTAGCAATAAGTTTTTAATAATGGTACAAACAAAAAAAATCATGTGTGCAAGCCATAAAACAATTGATTTTTTGACACATATATTCACAATCATAAAACATAAATCTTGATATAGACCTTAGTAGATACTAAAATTTATGTGCAACCCTCTAAAATAATAAGGTGTAATGTGACGATGTAAATAAACCAGCTATATCTGAGGTATAAACAAAGAATTGGCTATAAAACGCACTTATGTTTTCTTGCCATATGTACTCACCATCATAAAGTACAAGTCTTGAAAAGGTGAGATTTAGCTTTTTTCCATACGGTAAAGTATGTTTTCAAGCTTCAAGTTACACGTTAGTTTAATTTTGAACCCTAAACTACAAAATCAAAAAACTTGGTCCTCTTGCTGGTTCTATAGGAGGGTTTCTATTTTTTTAAAAACAATAAAAATGTAATTTCATCTCTTAAATTTATAACTAATTTATTTTAAATCAAAAAATGTGAAACTAGTATCAATTTTTTTCTAAAATGTTGTCTACCTATTTATGATCTTTATATATAGTTTCTGAAATTGGTCTATTTCTGTTTTTTTTTTTGTTGCTTTATGCTTGTAGTCGTGCTCACTATTTATTTAAAACAAATAAGACCCAAATAACTTTAAATATCAGCAAATGGATACTCCCTTCATCCTTAAATAAATCAACTTATAGAGTTGTTCAAATTCAGACTTTTGTAAGTTTGATCAATGTTGTAGGAAAAATTATTAACATTTATGACACTAAATAAATACATTGAATATATATTGCATGGTGTATCTAATGATACTAATTTTATGTTATAAATATTGACACTTTTTTATAAATAAATAGTGAGAACTCTAGAAGTTGGTTTATTCGGGGACGTAGGTAGTAACATTTTTAGAAGAAAACTATAACTAATTTCATATTTTTCTGATTTAGAATAAATTAATAGTGAATTTTTAAAGATCAAACAAGATTAAATCAGCCAAAGGGTCAAATTTTCCGGTTTCAATAGTTGGATAGCTACCCCGTTTTGTAGTTGAAGGTTAAAATTTAGACTTACATGCAATGTGAAGCTTGAAAAATGTACTTTTACCCTTTTTCATATGTAAGTGTCAAAGGGCCATGGCTTGCTGCATAGGCTAGAAATTTATTACTAATAAAACTTCATTTATCTTAAAAAATGTATTAAAAGTGTGGTTCGAAAGTACTGTGTCTACTGGAAATGTTATCAGAAGTTCTTATCGCATTGCAGCAGCTGTAGTGAAGCTGTTCCTCTATTTACATGTGTACGCAGAAGCACCTGTTCACAGCTAACGCAACTCAATTTCTTCTGAATATAGAGTGGAAAGAAATAGTGACAGTGCGAATGTTGTGTTTTCAGTATCTCGAGGTATATCTGTAACAGGTGGTTTGAATAAAACTTGAAATGAAATGGATCAATTTCTAGTCTTATCAGTCGAGTAGTCCAACTAGTTTCTTGGCCAAGCAAAAGATGCAGTTACTGACAAGATTCAGTCCGAAAGAAACAGGGACATTTTTCAATTATACATTTAGCCAGTCTGTTGCCTGCAGTTCACAATTACAGTGTGCTAAGTTCAGGATAAATCTCGATCCACAACACAAATTCAAGATCAGGATTCAGAAGTACTGCTAGACTCTGAGATTGAGCATTTGTCCTTCTCTTGCAATATGAATCAAAATCACTAATTGTGCGAATCTTTTTCGCTGAACTACTCACCAGGTCCGGGCAAACAAAGCAAAAGTTACCTCAACAGCGCCTGACGAATTCGGCCACGACGGCGAGCTCCTTGACGGCGTTGTCGCTGCCGTGTTTAGGCAAGAAGAAGACGTGCGCCTCGCCCTTGGTCTCGTAGAACTCGAGCTCCCCCTCCCAGCCGCACTTCTTGATCCCCTCTGCGTACGCCCTTGCCCTCTCCACGAACCAGCACTGCTCCGCCGTGGTCACCAGCACGCGGCGGGACCCGAGCTGCCTCCACTCCTCCGGCGACGCCATTGGGTTGACGTAGGGGTGGTCGAGGCCGAACTTTCCGCCGCAGATGAATTCCCATGTGGGGTCGAACATTGCGCGGTAGCCGGGATCCGTGGGCTCCGCGCCCAGCGGCTCCTTCCCCCAGAAGTAAGGGTGCAGGAGGACGATGCCGCTGACCATGTCGCCGTAACCCTCGATGCCGCCTTCCTTGCGCAGCCTTATCGCCACGTTGTGCGCCATGTTACCGCCGGCGCTGTCCCCCGCAAGGACGATGCGGGAGGCGTCGCCGTGCGCGGCGAGCCAGGGCTCAGCCTCCGCCTCGGCGCCATCCGCGCGGCACGCGGCGATGACTGCCTTCAGGGCCGCGAACGCGTCGTCGTAGGCGGCGGGGATGCGGTGCTCGGGCGCTAGGCGGTAGTCAACGGAGACGACGACGGCGGGCGCCGCGGCAGCGAGGGAGGCGGCGTAGATGTGGTAGAGCGGGGAGGCGGTGGTGTGGACCATGAACGCACCGCCGTGGAAGAACACGACGACGGGGAGCTTCTTGCCGGGATCCACTCCGGCGGGGAGGTAGAGGCGGGCGGAGATGCCAGCGGCGGGGTCGAGGACGACGTCCTTGGACGCGACGCCGTTGGCGGGGTCGCCGTCGGGGGACGGCGGGACGGTCTGTGTGCCATCGAAGCGCTCGACGCGGCCGGTCTTGTACACGCTCAAGACGCCGGGCATCTCGAACTCGAGCTCGGAGTCGGGGTCCATGGCGGCGTGGGGATTGAGGAACCTGTGGATCGGGAACCGGACGAGCAGAGCGGCTAGCGAAGCGATGAGAAGAGCCGCACAGAGCACCCGACACGACAGTTCGGGCATTCTGCCCCGTTTCTTCCTGGTTGGTAGCGAGAAGCCGAGAGATCTGGATTCTCGAATACTGGATGAACGATCCGGAGATCTGGTGTGGTGGCAATTGTGACCGGATGCCATTGCTGCGTTTGGATCCATCCAAACTTCCGTTCGCCGGTAGAAGTAGGTTCATCTCTATCAGCTTAGATAAAAAAAAAAACTACTCAATTCCAATAATAATAATTTTAAACCAGGGGTTTCAGCTCTACAAAATTCAAATCCACGGAAAAACATGAATCAAGGGCTTAGATCCATGAAAGATTCATGGATTCTATGAAGTTGTTCGAGAGGTACTTTAAAACACAGGTTTGAGACTTACTCATGGAGTTATGTGGTAATTACAGTATTTTTCTCTAATAACATTTCAGTATAAATATTGGCATAAACCAAATTTCAGAGATAAACAAACGGGGCGCCGCATGTAACTCTTCAGCATAAGCATAAGCATCATCGAATGCTCATCCGGTACCGGTTAATTCTTTTCCGTCCGTCCTCTTCCCGGCACGCAACTTTTCTGCTTTCGACCTTCTCATGGCGTCGCAACATATTTTGAAGGTACGTGACATTGCTTACATGTATATGGATTCTTATGGATGCTTGGCTTGCAGATGGTGAGACAACGGGCCTCAAATCCTATTATTACATTCTCAACAATATATCTAGGGCCATTATTTACCTAAAGATAGTTGATGGCAAAATTGTTAGGAAAATAAAGGGTACTAAGGGGCAGTTCGGCTGGTGTGAAAACCAGCCGGATTTCACTGTACGTGGCTGGTTTTCACTGTCTACTCTCTCACAAATTCCTCCAGATTCATCCACATTCCTTCAAATTCCTCCAAGTAAACAGGCCCTAAGAGCTTCGTAAGACCTCAAGGGAATGTGGTATGGCTACTTGCGTAGAAGCGGCATGAGAGCCATATATGTTTTCAGAGAACATTGTAGAGATTAATGGAGGAAGTTGCTTTACCCGCCTCCATAATCGACGTCACGAAAAAAAAAGCCGGCGCTTCGCTTACAGCATTGATGGCTGCAACGACTGATCTGTCCTCTACCACACCGCCGTCAGAGTATTCCCCTTGGTGATTTCGAGTTTTCACTAACCTCCAGAACTACCCCATAGGTTCAGGAGTTCCGGACAAATCTGCGAAACTTTTCAGAGTTTTGTTAATCCGCTGCTTTTAGTGTTATAAGAATTGCTTAGATACGTCTATTCACCCTTTCTAAGCATTGTTCATCCTTTTCAGGGAGATGGAGGATAACTAGATTGACCATTCCAACGGTCATTAGATTGTTGGAGCTGCTCCGCGACAGTTTAGCAGTGGCCATGGCTACTTGCGTTGTAGCGGCATGAGAGCGTCATGAGAAAAAAACATTGCATACAGGCGAGAGGAGGGGTCGAACGGAATAGAAATGAACGGGTGCGAAGAGGTATAAGTGTAATCAGTGATGGGTAATTTCCTCCCAATACTAGTACAAAAATCTTTTGTGTGACGGGCGAAATGGATTTTTGAGTCGGGCAACCCAACCGCCTCCGATCAAAGGTCACGGCAAATGTAGATTAATGGAGGAAGTTGCTTTACCCGCCTCCATAAATCGATTAAAAGAGTAGAAAAAAAAAAAAAAACTTGCACCCAGCAGCCAGCAGCGATCGGATCTGCACGGGCCTAGATCTCGCCAAGCTCGCGCTGCTTCTACCGCCGCTCCTCCTCCGATCCGCTTGTCCTAGATCTGCCGCCTGCGTCGCAGCTGGGGAACGCGTCGAACCCCGACGACAGTAGCGTTCGACTTCTCCCCGCCTGAGGATGTACAAGAGCGGCCGCGTGCACCGGCTGGAGGCCGGGGACGAGGCCCGGGGTGCTCCAAGGACGTGGTGCTCGACAGCCGGACCGGGCTCACATGACGCTGCCCCCGGGAGGAGGAGGAGCAGGCACCCGGTGCTGGTGCCCACATGGCGCCACCGGAGGGGGAGGATGAGGGGCGGGGCGTGGCGGTGTGGAGGGAGGAGGGACCGGGCGGCGGAACCGGGTGGGAGAGAGGGAGGAGGAGTCCGGCTCCGGCGCCACGCCGGCGCCAACATCGCCAGCCATGACCCATGACCCATGATCGTCACGCCTTGCCGCGCCAAAAGCCAACCTGTGACCTGCCTGTGGGAGGCCGTGCGGCAGGGGGGGGAGGGACTGGGGGCACATCGAGAGAGAGCCTGGCGATCAGACCCAAGACGCCACCGGTGGGGGTTGCCCTTGCGCCACCGAGAGAGGGAGAGAGAGAGAGGAGGGCAAGTGAGGAGAGAGGAAGGCGAGTGAGGGAGAGAGAGGTTGGCGAGTGAGGGAGAGAGTGGTGTGGGCTGTTAGGTAAAGAGAGGGAGAGGGAAGAGCTGATAGAGAGGATGGAGAACCAAACCCTATGTCTGAGTACATGTAGTTCGAGTGGGATATCGGGTTGGGCTGGGCCTGTATTTTTGGAGACGAGACTTATAGTGTGCCCGTCTCCTAAAATCAATTCACGGGCGGACGTCTTTGGACGACCGTTTCCGTAAATCGATTTTAGGAGACGATCATTTTTTGTCCGTCTCTGTAAATCAATTCTAGGAGTCGAACAAAAGTAACCGTCTCCATAAATAAAAACGTCCGTCTCCGTTAATCGTCTCCTTTATTTTTTATTTAAAAAAAATCAAGGGGTATCCTTTACATATCGGATACTCCTGCCGTCCCCAAAACAAGTGCACTTGAATGACGGTCGATTCTGGATTTCTGAGCCTGTCACTGCGGCACCACAAAATTCTACGGAGTACTACAGTCTGAAGAAGTATACAGTGAAAATTAGTTCTAATCATTGTTCAAAGACAGACAGCAGCACAAACAGTGAAACAGATCAGCAGCACGAGTTGGTGTTCTTTTCTTTCCGGTCCCATTCACCTTGTGATGCGGGTGATCCACGAGGACCACCAGCACCATGACCACCGAACAAAGGTCTCGTCACATTCCTACTCCCGTCGCCACTCGAATCTACTGACTTGCGAGCCCCCGCAACCGCAGCATCATCCCCTCTCCGCAGAAATTTGTATTCTGCAGTCCGTAGCAGCAGAAAGATGAGAGACCAGTAGAGTAGACAGGTAGTAGTCGTTTGTTCAATCGTCGGGCGGAGAGTCCCAAATCTCACTTGTTTTCTCCTACCCAGCAGCCAGCAGCGCCCAGCTACTCTTCCAATCCCTGTCAGCTGGTGGGATCATGGTTGCCAAGACGAGGCGACAGCTCGCCAAGCTCGCGCTGCTTCTACTCGCCCTGCTCCTCCTCGCCGCCATCTTGCTGTGCGTCTTCTTGATCCCGCGCCACCACAGGAGGCCGCTGCCCCCTGCGTCGCAGCCGGGGAACGCGTCGAACCCCGACGACAGTATCGTGGCGTTCGACTTCTCCCCGTACCTCATCATGTACAAGAGCGGCCGCGTGCACCGGCTGGACGGCACTGCCCGGTGCTCGGCCGGCGTCGACGAGGCCACGGGGGTGACCTCCAAGGACGTGGTGCTCGACAGCCGGACCGGGCTCACGGCACGGATGTACCTGCCCCCGGCGCAAGCGGGACGAAAAGCAAGGACAGTGGCAGGCACCCGGTGCTGGTGTTCTACCACGGCGGCGCGTTCGTGATCGGGTCGGCGTTCACGCCGCTGTACCACGCGTACCTGAACGGGGTGGTGGCGGTGTCCATGGAGTACCGCCTGGCGCCGGAGCATCGGCTGCCGACGGCATACGACGACTCGTGGCAGGCGCTCAACTGGGTGGCCAGGAACGCCGCATCCGGGCCGGAGCCGTGGCTGCGGGACCGGGGCAACCTGTCCCGGCTCTTCGTCGCAGGGGACAGCGCCGGCGCCAACATCGCACACAACATGGCCATGGAGACGGAAGGCGGGGGGCGGCTGGACGGCGGCGCGGCCATCACGGGGCTCCTGGTCCTGGACCCTTACTTCTGGGGGAAGAAGCTGGTGGCCGGGGAGACGACGGACCCTGCGCGGCGGCGCCAGTACGAGGCGACGTGGTCCTTCATCTGCGGCGGGCGGTACGGCATCGACGACCCGCGGGTGGACCCGCTGTCGATGCCGGCGTCGCAGTGGCGGAAGCTGGCGTGCTCGCGCGTGGCGGTCACGTCGTCGGGACTGGACGACTTCCGGCCGCGCGGCCTGGCGTACGCGGTGGCGCTCAACGACAGCGGGTGCCACGGGGAGATCGAGCAGTACGAGACGTCCGGCGAGCGGCACGTCTACTTCCTGGATAGGCCCAAGGCCCCCAATTTCATCAAGGAGCTGGCCTTCGTCACCGGATTCCTCACCCGGGAGTAGAGTAGGTAGCCATCACGGCGAGGGCGTACAACAACAGTAGGTGTAATCGTGAGGATTGCTGATTGCTGGTTGTGGTACATGATTAATTAATAGAGATTATTGTTGTTATTGCTAGCACCGTAGCATGTTATTTTTGTTTTTTTGTGTTTGGATCTTGATTGGGTTCTCACTTCTCAAGAGGTGGTGATGATTTGGTGATGGCGAGCACGATGAATCTGGGGATGGTAGCTCACCATACTTCTGGCATCGTGAGGAAAGCTGCCTGCAGACTGCAGTGTGCGACGCTTTCCTGCTTTCGCTTCAGTTTCTTCCGGCTGCGCTGAGGTCCTGTTTAGATTCCACCCAAAATCCAAAATTTTTTAAGATTCTCCGTCACATTAAATCTTGCGGCACATGCATAGAGCATTAAATGTAGGTAAAAAGAATAACTAATTGTACGGTTTGCCCGTAATTGGTGAGACGAATCTTTTAAGCCTAAATAGTCCATAATTGAATAATTTTTGCTAAATACAAACGAAAGTGCTACAGTACCAAAAAAAACCAAAAAATTTCGCATCTAAACAGGGCCTGAGTACCCGGACTTGTTTTCAGTTTCAGAAAACCTCGTACTGGGTCCAGCACTTCGGTTGTTCGGCGATCACTGCAGGCCCCGTTTGCTTACTAATCTGTACTATTTAATTTATTTTTTTAATCAGAACTATGTTTTTACCTCATAACAATTTAGCCAATTCAGTTAAGTTTCGCCGAGCCTAACGGGACCTCTGGAAGACACAAGTCTCAAGACGCAAAATGAACTGCGTCGGCTGTTCTGTTTTCAACCTGTTGATGATTGACATCTTAAATTAAGATTTTTTGTTTTAAAAGGTTCCTTTTGAAACAAAACATCTCATCAGACGATTGTGTATTAGCTCGGATTACGATTTGCTAAACGCGATCTCACTGTGTTCGTTTTTTTTTTTTTTGAGAATGCTGTGTTCGGTTTTCAGGTGCAAAGGATGCGACGGGTTGGTAGCTCCCCACTGGCCACTGCTTGCGGCAGCGGAAGACGGCAACGTCACGGGCTCTTCGACAATACACATAAGTACACTTTAATAAAGTTGCAAGGTGCCTTCCCTTCACGGATCACGACCATGCCATCTCGCGCTAGCAGGACATTAGGCGTCGAACATGGACTTTCTGGAAACACAGAATGGACAACTATCCAGTCGAGCAAAAGTACCGCAGGACGATGACATTTCCCCCACCGCGAAGGAGTTTTTTTTCCATTTTTTTTCCTTTTCCTTTTGATTTGGAAGTGGCCTTGCCTGTCTGATAGAAGGATGGATCGATTCGGGTTAAGGGATGAAGCCATGCGGCAATGACGACAGGGACACCACTCCCATCCACAAATCGCCGTGAGTTTCTGGCTACTACTAGTCTGCGTCTCCGTGAGTTGTGAGCCTTGTGACGAGGCAATGATTGGCGAACGGGTGCAAGAATGAATACGTCATCAATGTCTCAACAATTGTACGTACTTGTCCAATCAACAATTGAATTCGTCATCAATGTTCAACAAAACATCTTGTCCGATCAACAATTGTTAGTCGACATGTTCACAAAACATCAGTTGGATCCTAACACCGCCGAAGGAGGTTGCTTTAGTTGGTGCTTAGAAGGATGTGTTTGGTGCCATTGGTTTTGGTTTTGGCTTGGTCTTTGGGTTTTTAGAAAAAATATTGTTGGTATTTGGTTTAGACCAAACTTTAAAAACAAAATTTGGTTAAAACCAACAAGCGACCAGGCTGATTATATTCTCCTCGAACTGCATCACCAATAAGTGCGTATTTAGTTCGCGAAATTTGAAAATTTGGACTACCGTAGCACTTTCGTTTTTATTTGGCAATTAGTATTCAATCATGGACTAATTAGGCTTAAAACGTTCGTCTCGTAATTTCCAACCAATTTGTGCAATTAGTTTTTTTTCGTCTACATTTAATGCTTCATGCACATATCGTAAGATTTGATGTGATGGATACTGTAGCATTTTTTGGAAAAAGTTTTCGCGAACTAAACGAGGGCTAACAAGAAGAATTCAGCCGCACCTAGCCCACAATTTTCAGGCAAATCCGGCGCAAATCATAGAGCAAATGCAAACATCGGTGAGCAATGCATTCGTGAGGAAAATGGCTTCACAGGGTAGCAAACCTGACGATAAACGAGGGCTAACAAGAAGAATTCAGCCGCACCTAGCCCACAATTTTCAGGCAAATCCGGCGCAAATCATAGAGCAAATGCAAACATCGGTGAGCAATGCATTCGTGAGGAAAATGGCTTCACAGGGTAGCAAACCTGACGATGCGTCGTCTTGCGCGCCGGAGTCGGCGCCACGCGAAGTCGGCGAGGTGGAAGCGGTGCCCATGCCCGGCAAGCCACCTCGAGCGCCTCTCCACCTCCTAGCCCTCACCCGGCACCCGCGGGACCTCAGGCCTTAGGGCAGCTCTATTATGCCCATTAAGGAATAATAAGGAGTTGCAAAGAAAAGAAAATAAAGTAAAAGTGGTATCATATATTGGACTAAGAGTGGCAGCTTAGTATTTTTAACAACTTGTAGGTTGTTTGAGACTTTGAGCACCCGGTGCATACAATAACAATAACAATAATAATAATAATAATAATAATAATAATAATAATAATAATAATAATAATAATAATAATAATAAAAGAACAAACGTCATAACAGTTACGCCTATTGTTCAAAGTTCACTTGGCCGGTAGTTGTTGGCATGTGTCCTAGCTAATAGAAAAAAAATATTTTGTTTTTAGTGAGTCCCATTTTAGTTACCTGAAACGCTGGAGCGGTTTGAGCTGAGGAAATCTCATAATATATTTGCGAAAATGTTTATTTAGCTCTTAGCCCCTTTGGGCGTCGGCATCGTGGATACAGTTACCGTAAAGACTAGGTTAAAATACTTGTGGTGCAATCTATCCATCAAGATTTAAATTCTCGACTTGACATGATGCTGGTATTTTTTTTAAATTTGTTTTAAAATTTAACCGTATTTTTTCCCACTGATATAAGAAAGTGCCCTAAGACCTGAGGCGTGAATATAATCCTCCATCGGCGACGCTTTCGTCTGCATCCCACTTACAGACTCCAGTCAGGTGACCAAGTTAGATCCCCACTTCCACGTTCTTGACATGTCTAGCTTTTTGTATGTTCAATGCTCAGCTAAACACAAACTTGTGAGATAATATATATAAAACTTTTGTGTCCTTGTTTTTCTATTATTATCTTTTTGATAGAATAATTTGTAGCACATATATATATATATATATATATATATATATATATATATATATATATATATATATATATATATATATATATATATATATATATATATATAGCTTTTAGTAATGAAATAAGGTAGCTCAGCTTGTTTGGTTCTTTATATTGGAAGCTGCCAACACAAGTTTAAATCCTTGACGCGTGGATGCTAGTATCTTGTTGGATTTAATCCATGATTTAACGACATTATTGTTTCAGTGGTAGATAATTGGGCATGAGTGCTCATATTTTCTAGGATATATACAAACAAAGAGTACAATAACAAGAAACCTTCTAACCATTGGATATTCCTGAAAATATGATTATTCCTACAAGTCCAAATACTCCAACTCATCAGTACCATCAGTTCCATATAGAAGGTACTCATAATTATCGTCGTTTGAAGTGCATAAATATTCTTTCATTTGAAGTGCATCAAAATTTCAAATGGTTTATCAGAATTTGGTATTTGAATATTTAGAAGGGACCAACACTGTTTTGAGAAATCACAATTTAGAAAGAGATGCAACTGAGACTCCTCCAATCTCCACATTGTTAGAGCACAAACACAGTTGTAACCCTAAAGTTTCATATTCTTTCGATTTAGAAGACTTATGTTACTATTCTGACTTTTAGTAGTAACTAGAAGGTTACCTTATGTTATGGCTAACAACAAGATTTCCAAAAGCCAATTAAAAGCTTTATGCACTGGATGATGACCAATTAGGACTTTGTAGGCTTTAGTTGAGGTGTATAATGATGATCCCCAAATATATGTCCAAGTGTCAAGCTAAGCTGAGAGTTCAACATCATGAAGAAGAATTTCTAGTTATTGTAGTTGTCGGAAGGCTTGTAGCGAAATGGATAGATAAAATTGAAGGGGCTGTAACGACTAAGAGGGGTTGAATTATGTCATAAAAAATTAAGGCCCAGAACACTTATATAACCTACACAAGTCTATTTTGGGCGGGTGGGCAATGGCTGAGGCGAGGCTGGCCAGCAGGACGGAGATGGGAGCATGACAGAGGCAATACTATAGGATTGATTTTGCGAGGCGGTGGGTTTTTTATTAACTGAGGCGGGCGAGCTGGGCGGCCACCACCGTTAATCGGTGGTAGGGCCGCCAGCCGAGCGACCACCTCGGTCAATCATTAACGGAGGCGGGCCGCATAACGCGCCCACCTCAATAATCCACGATTAATCGAGGCGGTTGCCTTACGACAACCGCCTCAATTAATGGATTAACTGAGGTGGGCACTATAAGCCAACCGCCTTGGTTAATCGATTATTTTCGGAGGCCGTAAATCGATTTACAGAGGCTGGCGTCTTAAGATGTCTGCCTCGGCTAATGATTGCAATAAAAAATAATTCATAACTCTTTCATATGAACTCGGATGAAGACAAACTTTATATCAAAATTATAGCTCTCGATGAGATCTACAACTTTGTAGTTGAAAAGTTTTTGAATTGAAACTGTTTCGGATCCCAAAATACTGTTGTAAATGCACAGATTTTGAAATTTAAAATTTAAAATTATCAAACGATCTCGGATGTTAACATGGTTTATAAAAAGTTCTGAATAAAATCTACAACTTTGTTGTTGAAAAGTTTTAAATTGGAAGATGTTTAGAGTCCCAAATATGTGTTCGAAGGTTATAGATTTTAAAATTTAAAATTTAGAATTCCTAAACGATCTCAAATGTCCGCATAGTTAATACCAAAGTTCTAGGGGCCGACCCGATCTACATGTTTGATATTGACAAGTTTTTGATTTAAAGTCATCTAAGTGTCAAATATGTGTTTGAAATTTAAATATTTTGAGACTCAATTTTTTGAATTTTTCAAACTATCTCTGATGGATACATTCTATGCCAAAGTTGTAGTAGTTGATAAGATTTAAAACTTTGTAGTTAAAAGTTTTTTTATTTGAATTCATTTAGTAGCCAAAATATCTAATATAATATTACAAAATATTGATATAAAGATAGCATATTATGGGCCTATTTGGCAGAGCTGTGCTCCCTGATTCACCGGTGAAGTGATTCTTAGTGATTCTCTGTTAGAATCGATTCTGTCTGATAAAATCGTTTGGCAAGTTGTCTGCGAAGTGATTTCTGAAAGGAAGGATTTTGCTAGAATTGTTCATAGTACTCTTGTCTATCTGAACTGAAGTATGCCCAATATTTATACGATATATTATTGTTTTGTTAGAAATCAGAGACCAGTGAAATTCTCCATGTATCTCGTGATTTTTGCATGCAGTGTAAAGGACTAACAAACAATTTTTACATTCTCATCACACCAGTCCGCAGTGTCTTCCTTCATGGTGCTGATATTGTTTCATGTCTTAGAATTAGTATTAGTAGTCATACTTCACAACACATGTAAAGGACTAATAACACTCATGCAAAAAAAATCATTTTCAACTAGCTACACACCAGCATCACATACAAAATCCATAATACAAGAAGAAACATGTCTCCAGATTGTAGATTTGAGCAAGAGGGGCTTGGACGGCAGCGAGAGGAGGTAGGAGGCAGCCTGCAGTAATACAAATCAGAGACAAAATCAGATGGATCTGAGGGAGAGAACGTTTTTGAGAGGGATGGGATGAGCATAGGCCTTCAACTCACTAGAGAGCAGTGGAGGGGCCCGGCGGCCGGCGCAGACGAGCACTGGAGGGGCACGGCGGTCGGTGCGAACAAGCTGTGGGCGTTGCGCCGGGATGAGGAGTGGGCGCCGGGGAGGGGAACGGCGGCCGGTGCGCTCCGCTCGTCGCTCGTGCGAGAGTCGCGACGCGGGCGCCGCACGGAGGGGACGGAGAGACAGTGTGGGAGAGGAGACCGAAGGAATTTCTATTTTTATACCAGTGGCATTTGCGGGTAAATATCATGAAAGTTTGTGGGGAGGTCTGTAACCTCAGATGGTGGGGATCGGGAGTGAATCCGGGGGAGTAGGTTTTTACAACTCCCTTGGATGTACACAGAATAGAGAACGATTCACTCAGATTCATTGGAGAAGCTAGGGCGTATTTTTGCGTTTGGCAGCCGAGGAGCGATTCTCTTGGAGAATCTACTCCATGGAGCGCTCCCAAGTGCAACCTATATATAGATATAAAAGAGTGTGTAGTGTAATGGTAGAGATGCGGTAGTGTTGTGAGTGGCAGGTCTTGGGTTTGACTCTCCAAAGTCGTATTTTTTTTGGTTTTTTGGGTTTTCTGGGAAACATTAACGGGGGCGGGCATATTAAGACGCCCACCTTGGCATCTTCGTTAATCGATTAACCAAGGCGAGCAAAACAACTATCTTTGTAGGTCACCATTAACCGTGAACTTTGGACAGAGGCGGTTGATGACATCGGTGGAGCATGACAGATTTGGTGGGTGTAGAGAGATGGGAAAGGGAGAGGAAGAGATAAATAAGAGAGAAAAAAATAGAATTGTTAAAGGAGATATAAATAAAGGAAGAAGAAAGAAAAGAACAAAGAAAAGAGAAAAAATAGAAGAGCACTATCGACATTTCATGTATTTTATCTACTAGGAGCGGTTGTTTTATCAAACGTTCTTTAATAACCACTGAATGCATTTTATCTACTAGGAGCAATCGTTTTGTCAAACGTTCTTTTAACTAATGAACCACAGTTTTAGCTGGAGTTGAAGCTCTATCATAGGGAACCTAAATCAGCGATGAATCGTATTTACTGGTCGAAGAAATTTTTTGGAGGGCGTTAGTCAGCTAGGTCCTCTTTTTTCTCCAGTTTGATATTCCGAAGCAGTGGTCAGAAGAATCGAAGTCGTGGCCTTAGATTTGTGTGCCTCGTTTTGGTCAGAACACACAAAAGATTTTAATCAAGTTTGGACTCATCAAATGGTGATCGAGAATCCTCCACCGAATGTATCAGCAACAATAAGTTTCGGACTGCAAAAACGTAAAAGCAAACAACTGCCGCAGACCATATACAAATTCTCCGGCAGCAATATGATTGTGCGCAGCAATATGAACGTAAAAGCAACAATATGAATTCGCCGGCAGCGGCAGGTTTTCAGACGTATCAGCCGCAGACGTTGTGCGCAAATGCAATGTACGACGCCCACGAGATCGCAAGGATCCTACAGGTTAACAAATCTGGCAATGGCGTCGTCCTGCGCGACAGCGTCGGCGCACGCGAAGTCGACGAGGTGGAAGCAGTGGCCCTGCCCGTTCACCTCAAGCACCTCCACCTCCCCGGCCCATCCGCTGGCCCTAAGCTCCTCGGCGTACGCGCGCCCCCGGTCGCGGCACACGTCCTTCTCCGCGAGGCACACGAGGACACGCGCGCACGCGAGCCCCTCCAGCCCAGGCGCGCCGGCCACGAGCGGGTTGATCCAGGGGTCGTCCACGCCCGAGGTGCCCGGGCACACCACGCGCCACATGGTCACCACGTTCTCGACCAGCGCGGGGTCCGTCTCCTCGGAGGTCACCCGGTCGGCTCCGAGGAAGTAGGGGTGCACGAGTGCGACGCCGCTGATGCGGGCGCCGTGCGGGAGGGGCTCGGCGCCGGCGCGCATCGCCATGTGGTGCGCGATGTTGGCACCCGCGCTGTCGCCGCCGACACACAAGCGGGAGAAGTCGCCGTGGTCGGTGAGCCAGGGTTCCTCACCAGATCCAGTGGCGTGGGAGGCGACCCAGACGAGCGCCCGCCAGGAGTCGTCGTACGCGGCGGGGAGTGGGTGCTCGGGCGCGAGGCGGTACTCGACGGAGACGACGATGGCGCGGGCGCGCGCGGCGAGGGAGGTGAGGTAGGCGTGGAAGACGAAGTTGAAGGCGGTGTGGAGGCAGAAGCCGCCGCCGTGGAAGTACACGAGGATTGGAAGCTTCTTCCTGCTTCCGCCGTTGGCTTCGGTCTCCTTGGCTGGCGGCGGGAGGTAGAGGCGGACGGCGACGTCTGGGGAGACGGCGCGGTCCTTGGAGGCGATGCCCGTGGCGGCGTCCGTGGAGGCCGGGACGGGGTCGGAGCCGAAGAAGCGCTCCACGCGGCCGCTCTTGTAGACGCGGATGAACTGCGCCATCTCGAAGATGACCTCATCGTCGCTGGCGCCGGAGCCGGCCATGGGTGGTGTCGGGGTGTGGGTGTGGCTGGGAAGGCCGAAGGGAAGGCGAGGGCCGAGCAGGTTTGGAGTGCGGTCGCCGCAGGTTGCACGTCTTCACGTCTAAGCGCCGCCAGCAAACGGTTGGCGTGTGTTGAATGCGGGAGGCGTTGACAGATCAGCGGCCTGGTTGGGATGGGCTCAGCTGAGAATGGCCCATGTGGCCCACGTCAGTGAGTAGCTGGATTTGGACAGTTGGGAGTGTTTTGGACTCTCCAACAGGCTAGTTCGAAAGGTCAGATCAGATCCGGCCATACTTCCTCACTGGCCACGGCTGCGCCGCGTCCGCGTCGGCGGCGGACGGCTCGGTGCCGCTGGGTCTCCGGCTCTCCGCCGCACATCCAAATCCATCTCGTCGGTTCGACTTCTGAGATCCCTTCCGTGGCATATTACAATCCCCCCAACGCCATGGCCAACGCTGACGCTGGCGACGGCGGAGAGGTCATCCTCGACGCCCCCGGCTTCATACGCGTGTACAGGAGCGGCCGCGTCGAGCGCTTCCTGCCGGTCGACTTCGCCCCGCCCTCCACTGACGCCGCCACCGGCGTCTCCTCAAAGGACGTCGCCATCCTCCCAGATGCCTGCGTATCGGCTCGCATTTACCTCCCGGCGCCACCCTCCTCCGGAAGTTACAGCGGCAAGCTCCCCGTCCTGGTGTTCTTCCACGGTGGCGGGTTCTGCCTCGGTTCGGCGTTCGACGCAGCGGTGCACGCCCACGCCAACCGGCTCGCCGCGGCGGCCAGCGCAATCGTCGTGTCGGTGGAATACCGCCTCGCGCCGGAGCATCCGGTCTCCGCGCTCTACGGGGACGCATGGGCGGCGCTCCAGTGGGTGGCCGCGCACGCCGCGGGCCGGGGGCAGGAGCCCTGGCTGACCGCCCACGCGGACCTCGGGCGCGTCCACGTCGGCGGAGAGAGCGCGGGCGCCAACATTGCGCACCACGCCGCGATGCGCGCTGGCAGCGAGGAGCTGGGCCACGGCGTGAAGCTCAGCTCGCTCGTACTGATCCATCCCTACTTCCTGGGAGGCGAGAGCTCCGAGACGGACGAGATGGGCGTAGCGTTGCTCCGCGAGCTCGTCCGGCTGTGGCCTGTGGTGTGCCCGGGCACGAGCGGGTGCGACGGCGACCCGTTGATCAATCCGATGGCAGAGGGTGCCCCCAATCTCGCTAGCTTGGGGTGCCGGCGCGTGCTGGTGTGCGTCGGGGGAAAGGACCCGATGAGGGGCAGAGGAAGTCTGTATTGTGAGAAGCTGAAGGGAAGTGGGTGGCGCGGGGAGCTGGAGGACTGGGAGGCGGACGGTCAGGGACACGGTTTCCATCTCTCGTGCCCCATGAGCGCAGAGGCGGAGGCGCAAGTCCGGGTCATCGCTGAGTTTCTGAGCTATGGATGACATCTCCGTTTATCCACTCCTTCAAGCGGCCATGGTGCATTGTTCTCGAACCTGATGTTTGGTTACATTTTTGTTTCGAGTTTTGATTAAGGACATCCATGTTTTGATTTTTTTCATAGATATATCTAGTCTATATAGTCTACAGTCCTTATCTTGTTGCTGAGTTACAGTTAGTCCTAGATTTTATCTAGTAGATATTACATAAGCTTAATGAAGGCCAGGGTGTGGGTTCCAGATTCTCAAATTTCATCAGAAGAAGGGGTTACTGAATCAGGACAAAATTAACTGAGCTGTATTAGACTTACCTTTGGGTTAATATCTATTGGTGCAAGACCCAGATTGGGTATACCTATGCAATCTATATTTGCTTTGCCTGACTAAAGTTTATGACAAAATCCTAGCATTGCTAATATTCTCTTTAGTACATTCCTGGTGACGCACAGAGCGGGAGCTCTCTGCACTGGGTACGCCCTTTACATTCCTGGTGACCTTGTTGCATAACATGAGCAGTCATTTAGTATACATGAGTCGTGAGGCTTCTCATACTAGAGCAGTGTTCCTGCACAAATGGGAGAAATGGCTGGTAGTCTCACATGCAACAGTCCAGGAGCAGCCACCTACGATGGATCATAACCCAACAGTTGTAAAACAAATCAATATGGGGAGAATTTCTCTTGGACCAACGTATTTGATGATATCATTGATATCCACCTTCAGGTATCCTAGGCGTGTATTGTTTGTCGTACAAGGCATGCATGATGTCTTGGTCAATATTTTACTTCCATTGCTGCATCATGGGGCTTTGAGAAATACTGCTTCCTTGACTTGTCTTTTTGCTTTCATTGACCAAAAACACTTGCCTTTATCATCTTGCAAAAGGCATGCTGTTTGAGCAAGATATAAGTTATACATGTAAACACACTTGCCTTTATCATCTTGCAAAAGGCATGCTGTTTGAGTATTTCCTGTAGGTCGATGTTCTCACATCTAATCGGATGGATGGAGCTCTTCTCAAAATTGGTGACTAGGCCGGTGATATTACCAAAAAGCCTGCAAAATTCCTTTGACCACATCTAAGTCAGGCTTGCTCACATTAATGAAGATTGCCGCGACATCCGCATATAAAGATGTCTGACCTCTTACTAGTTACTACTGACATGATAATTTCTCATAATACACAGCGTTGATGTCATGTACCTTCCTTTTTTGTACTTAAACTATGTAGCAAATTTCATTTTTCCATTTGCATATAGGTTCACCTAAGTTTGTATTATCAGCTGCACTAATTTTATGTTTTAATGATAACTATTGGATCCACAATACTTCCCTGCACAGTCATCTTCATTCTTTTGTTCTTTACACCTTTTGGAAATCAAACATCTATCCTTTAGATTTCTCTTTGCCCAAAGAGTCTTGAATCCTTAATCATGAGATGATATCTAGTCGTAGCATGTGACCTTACATAATATATGAAATGTGATTACACTTTTAGCCTTTGGAAACCTGGAAGTCTACAGCTTGTCCCTTCATTGAGCCAAGGAAAAAAGTGATAATCTTTCTGTTAGTTCATGTGATGTGGAGAACAGAAAATAATCATTTGCTTATAAAAGGAATGAACATACCTCAGCAATGATGCAACAATTGTTTCCCTATAGCTGCATGATGTCCACAGTCAACTATGCATGAAATAGCACATGGAATTTGTCACCTTTGACAGGGTTGCATGCATCGGCGCAAGCTGAGGTTGAAAACTTGAAATAGTGCACAGAGGCTTGCTTTCTTTTGGTTCTGAATAAGTGAGTACTAGTTTTCCATCATAACTAAAGCATTGAATTGTGACAATTTCCTTTTTCTAGCAGTGCCTTCAGGGCATTAGTAGATCCCTTAGCTTAAGGGCAACTCAGAAAGGGATGTTTATTCCCCCAAAAATGATAATTGTTTCTCACAAATGCAAGCATCTCAGTCGTTACAATAAAGAGAACCACATTTTCCATTCCTAGAAATATTATAATAAGCATTCAAATTTTACTTAGGTGACTATTTGTGTTCCTTTAAAACACCCTAACCTAACCACCCTTAACAATGTTTCAAACATTTGACTTGTACGTTTGCACTTATGAATGGAGTATTTGACATTTTGCCATATTGGGCACGATGTTATCCCACGTTTAAGTTGCGCATAATGGCTAACCACTGAATGTATAGATCCTCTTGGTAACATCTCTTCTCTTTATGTTTAGCCAGTTCCTTTGCCTGCCAATACCTTGAAATTTCTCGTCTTGAAGCCTATAAATACTTGTCCTGTATGTACATATATTTCAGCATCCTTGGCATCCTGATTGTCCTTGGTGAAGGTTCAATTGTGTTAAACCAGCCCTTAGAGAGACTCGGAATATGGAGAAAGGAAAACACATCCAGCCACCAACTTATGGAAACCTTGTAACGATTCTTTCTATTGATGGTGGAGGCATTCGAGGAATCATTCCGGCTGTTGTTCTCACCTTTCTGGAGTCAGAGTTGCAGGTAAATCTGTAGAAGCAGAACTGCACAATGTGGTTTCATGTATCGTATGATTGCCTAGGCAACACTAACTTAGTGAGAGATATGATAATTTAGAACTCCCTATTGCATATGTTGCTCGCATGAAGGTGATAAGTGCATTTGTAGAGTCCAAAATTTGTTGATATGCTAGTTCAAAGTACAAACCATTTAGAATTAAACCCAATTCACAACTATATTCCATCGTGGGCGATAATTCTGGAGAAGCATTATTAACTTAAACCTTAATAGATTATGACTTTCATAAAACCTGATTAAATCTTGAAAGCCTGTCGCAATTTGCATTGCAGTCAGAATTAGGAGTGCCATCCTATTTTTAATACGCTAAATGTTCTCTTGATTGATTCTTATGTAAAACTGTTCTTCTTAATTGATAAAGAAACTTGATGGAGAGGAAGCCAGGTTAGCAGATTACTTCGATGTCATTGCTGGGACCAGCACAGGGGGGCTTGTGACCTCAATGCTGGTTGCACCAAACAATACAAACAGGCCACTCTTTGCAGCCAAGGATATTCAAGCATTTTATATGAACCATGCTCCCAAGATTTTCCCACAGCAGAGGTGAATACATATCTTATTGTTCTTGTTAATTGGATTGCAAACTTTCCGGTCAACATTTTTTTGGTCTTTCTTTAGGGGTCCATTCGGTAGGATAATGAGGATATTCCGATCGCTGTCAGGACCTTCCTATGATGGTAAGTACCTTCATGAAGTTGTCAGAAAGAAGTTAGGAATCACCAGGCTGCATGAGACTTTAACAGATGTGGTAATACCAACTTTCGACATCAAGCGGCTACAACCTATTATTTTCTCGTCCTATGAGGTGTGGCTCTTTCTCTCACCCCTACCCAATCTATCCCTCTCTATTCTGTGAAGAGGGGTGATTCATACCGTAACACATTGTCTCTGCATGTTTATGACAATGAGTTAGAACCAAATAACTTCAGCCGTGTATGAAATGTTTGCTACTCAAATAAAAACACTTCAACTGGTGTTAGAATAAATCAAGGGGAAAGATCAAAAGTGAATAACAGGGACTTCTGTTCATCCTCCATGCTTAAAATTTACATGACAACGGGCATTTTCTTTTATATCATAGGTTAAGAATGAGAAGTACAGGACAATGGATGCTCTACTATCAGATATTTGTATCAGCACATCTGCTGCTCCAACTTATCTTCCTGCACACTACTTCAAGACAGAAGATTTCCATGGGAACACCAAGGAGTTCCATCTTATTGATGGAGGAGTAGCTGCCAATAATCCGGTGCGATATTTATCAGTAATTATGCATTAGTATCAGAAATTTTAATCATGATGCAAGGTTGATAAATTATTTGCAGTTCTTATATGTGTAAAATCTTGCAAAGTATCAACATAGTATGTGATTTAGAAATTAAAAGTAACTTCGAACTTTTTAAGGAAACCTAATTTATCTTTCTTTTGTTTAGGCTTTAGTTGCCATTGGAGAAGTAACCAAACAGATATTCAAGGAAAACCCAGATTTCTTCCCAATAAAACCTATGGATTATGGCCGGTTTTTGGTCGTTTCACTAGGCACAGGCTCAGCAAAGTTTGAAGCAAACTACAATGCACAAACGGCTAAATCATGGGGAGTGTTGGGTTGGTTGCTTGGCAGTGGATCCACTCCCTTGGTAGATATTTTCACGCAGGCAAGTGCAGATATGGTGGATATCCATATCTCTGCTGTTTTCAAAGCCTTGCATTCTGAGCAAAACTATCTGAGGATTCAGGTGAGTACAGTGTATACATTTAGTTTGCAGAGCTAATAGATTTGCTTTGTCTCAAAAATTACTATTTCAAAATAACAGGATGATACTCTACAAGGGACACTGTCCTCTGTTGATGTTGCGACCAAGGAAAATATGGAGAAACTTGCCAGAGTTGGAGATATGCTACTAAAGAAACCTGTCTCTCAGGCGAACTTGGAAACTGGCCATATGATGCCGGCTTGTCATAGGCCAGAGATGACCAATGAAGAAGCTCTAAAGAGGTTAGTTTTACGTCTACAGATCCTATTGTAATGATGATTGCACTAGAACACCCAACTAGGATGTACTTAGCTGTTTATTTACAGATTTGCGAAGCTGCTGTCTGATGAAAGGCGAATTCGCAAGACAAGATCGCCAAAATGAAGAAAGCCCTCATGCTTGTTTCAACACACTGAGAGAACTCTGCATTACTTCAATTAAGAACTATGGTTGATATTATTTGTTGATATGAATTGTAACAATAAAACAATTTGTAGGTGACCATGCTGACACTGTAAATTGATGATGTTGGAATCTGCCGGCTGGCTTTTGTAGCGTGTAAAAAAAAGGAAAATACCAATATTCTTTTTAATAAATATCAGCATTGGATTACTTGTATCATTGTTTTGTTAGTATTGATGGTTTTAATTCAGCGGTTCAGCCAACAAGGGAAGAAAAAGGTTCCAGGTCGGCCATGCACTTAAACATTGGAGCAGATAGATACCCAGCAGTGCTGCATGGAACAAGTACCTGGTACGATTGTGCCTCGCTTTCTTCAGAGAAATAGGCTAATCGATCTTTGCTTTGAATAACAGGCAAGATGAGCTTGTTTTTCAGAAAGAGCTGTGCCTTTGGTACTTGCGTAGGCTTCTGCCGTTGGGCATGGGCGGAATGACATCAATTCCATTCGATTTGGAGCGTGTACAGTCTAGACAAATGTGTAGCAAGGGTTCACTGGATCAAAGGCAAAGCTGCCCATATTTTATGGCGTACTTTATGGATGGTCAATGCAAGAGGATCATCTGTGAGAATCTTTTAGCTTCTGATGAAAGTTTCACCTCATTACATTGCTGTCACATAAAACTGTAAACACTGAGGTAGTTGTGGCCAGATCGCGGACCTTTGCAGCAACCAAGGGGCAAGGGTGCTGGGATTGATATGGGTACAGTACAGACCGTCTATAGCCTTCCAAAACGAGGTAGCCGGCCATGTGGTGCTCTACAGAACACTCATTTGCCCCCTCAAGGCTGCAACTTGAAGAAAAGGACTTGAACATCCATCACCAATCGATTTGGGAGCACCGAAAGATCTCGTCAATCTCAGGAAGTAGGTGTATCATGCAACTTTAGGAATACAATCTCTAGTCCTTTGTTAATATGATAGCTACGTTCAGATGAGTGGCACTGGGTAGAAAGAGTAGAGACAGTTGGCATTTGGCATCACAGTGCCCTCCCCTTTCCCTGGATGGCGGCTAAATATGCTGCAATTAACTAGAGCTCAGAGCTCCGGCCAGCCAGCCATGGCGGCATTTGGTCACCCCTTAGTGCCCCATGGCTGCACCCCATGGACCATCGTTTCGGAAAAAGCCCCATTTGACAAGTATTTCCGGCAATATAGAATGGTCGCCGTCGCCCTGCCCCTGACAGGACAGGCGTGAGCTTTTTTTTTTGGAGCCTTTTCCCGTGATATAGTGGCCTGCGCTAGTTGGGTGTCCTAAACCGTTGGTTGGATCCTTGAGCAGGTGACTTTACAACGCCGTCGGTCGTCGGCCGTCGCCACTCGCCAGGCCGGCCATGTTTATTTCCCCTGGGAGCTCAGGCGCCCATAGGCTGAAAGGTTTAATGATGAAAAAGTGAGTTCCTAGGACCAGGGAGCTCTGCCGCCGGCGAATGTGCGTGGCCGGTCAAAAGATGGCCCTGTGTGGCTGTGTTCGATGGAGCACAATGCAAGTGAAACACAGATGCCATGGGCGCCTTAGCTACCGTCTGTGTGAGTGTGTGTGGTCAGAGACGGGAAGATTCCCGGAGTGTTCCATGCAGAGATTCAGTTGGCGCCACCCTGGTTCTGAATCCTCTTCTGATGGAGACATGACAGTAAACATAATGTTGTAATAACACTTTCTGCAGTGGTTTGGCATTTCAGGTTATTTTCAACAGTTTACGTGAGTGTAGCCGGCACCTTCCGATCCGAATCATTACGCTTTAGAAGTTCTTTTTCCTTTTCCAAGCGACGCGCACGTGCACAAGAACAGAGTTTTTGACTGCAGTCTTATTAGTTATGACCATGTGACAATAACATGGGTTGAAGAGTAGACACATGTTCTGCCCCCTCGTACTGATAGCCCTTTTGTTTTCGGCGTCACAATAGTGCAAACCGGCCGGAGCACTTCAGCTCCCTATAAATTGTCGCAGAGATCGCTCCTCTCGAATCAAACTACAAGCCAAGCTCAGGGCTCAAGGAGACTACTAGTGCTAGCACCAGCAGATTACCAGAGCAACATCTCCCTTCTCACGCTACACTCCAGTGCCTGGACTCCACACATATATATACTCCCGTGCTAAAATGGCCGCCGGTCTTGTCAAGCCGTCGTGGGCGTGCATTGCGATCATCGTCTTAATCGTCACGTCGTCGAGCGGCGTGGCGTCGGGCGAGGCTAGGAGGCTGCTGGTGGCGGAGAAACACGCGGTCGAGGGAGCATGCGCCGGTGGTTGCCGTCCTCCAGTCCAAGGTCTCACGGCGACGATCACCGCCAGCATGATGGCGACCACCGACGGGCGGCCCACGGCTCCCGGACACAGCCCAGGGATCGGCAACAAGATCGCTGGCAACACCCGTTGAAATGAATCATCAATCGATCAATTATCATCATCATCTGCACGCGTTGCTTATTCGTCACGTGCAGCCCAGGGATCGGCAACAAGCAGATCGCTGGCAACGCCCGGCCCGTTGAATACACATCAACGAGAAGCCTTTATTTGCTTGATGTACATGCATATGTTTCTTTGTTTTTCCTTGTGATTGTACATGAGATAGTGCATCATGGACGTGCAATGCAAATTTCCTTTTCGTTCCCCCCCCTTTTTTTTGAATAAAGTTAATCATGTTTTGTACGGTCCCGTGTTTTTTTAGAATTTCACCTTTACAAATATAGACGTCCACAACACGCACGTATACTCACTCCTATAAACACACGTATGCAAATCCTATCTCTATGAGTACCTCTAAAATACTGAGTTGGGCAGTCGGTAGATCACGAGATTCACGAAGTCACCACATGCGCCTTACTGTCGACGGGGACGTCGTCTACCACTGAAAGCATCGCACTCACACTCACTCCCTATAAACACACGTACGCAAACCCTACCCATATGAGCACCTCCGAAGTACTGAGTTGGCAGATCACGAGATTCACAAAGTCACCACAGATGCCTCATGTCGATGGGGACGTCATCTACCACGCCTACCACTGAAAGCATAGCGCTGTTAAATCCTAGAATAAATCCAGAAAAATGCGAGCACGCATGCTAAGTTGAGAACTTGAATCCGGGTGGGCAGGCTCGACCATAAAAAAAACCCAACCAGCTGATCTATGTCTTTGTGTACATATATAGGATCTGTGGCCGCTTTCGACCAAATAGTTAATGTTGACGACTATTGCATGTAGAGGTCGGAAATGAAGTGCCCGGCGCCCGGCCATATATATAAAAAAACTGGACCTGCGAGGGTATGATCACCCCCAGGCATTGCATTAAGAAGAAGACATTCTCACGTCAGGTTCAGAAAACCCCCGAACCCCTGCCCCACCCTTACATAGCGGCACCATCGCCCTGTGAGACCGGACCGGTCCTTAGACCTGTGCTTTGGTGTGGGATCAGACGAGGGAATTTTTTTAACCCCAATATGAAATTAGCTCCCATGGAAAGTTGAACCCAAGACCTGAAGAGTGCCGCCGGGACGCTCTAACCAGTTGGACTAGAGACCCTTTAGCACCCGGCCATATATAGCAACAAACAAAAACATGCAACCACCATGTGCCTGTTTGCTTAGAGGAATTCTAGAGGAATTTGGATGGTTTGGAGGAATACTGGAGGAATTTGTGAGAGAAAAATACTGTTCCGGATGAAAAAAAGAAGCGGATCAAGTTGGATTTAAGAGCACGCGAACGGGGCCATGTGCTGATTGGATCACGAAGAAAACGAATCTAGGAAACAGCCATTGAAAAATATGTGAAGAGACGCCTAGGTTTAGATAGCTTGATAAAACCGGAGCCGGCTAAAGTTGTTTTTTTGTGTGAGAAAAAAAATACTGTAGATTCTAACTGATAAGCGGCTAATTAATTCAAGCGAATAGACCCTATCTATGTGCATGGCTACGTTGCCGTCCCTGTCCACCAATTTATCATGCATGATTATTCTCTCACCGTACGTGAAACAACGATTTATTATGAATACGATCACTGATCAAATGATATTTTTCTTGCACAAGCTCAAGATAGCTGGGTGCATGAAGAATCTCAGGATAATATCTCCAAAGTCTGAACTAATATCGAAGAAGCCACAGTGTCGTTATTAGTCATTATGTAGAGTATCTGTATCTCGGTTATGGTAGATAAAAAGGCACACATAGGAACTACTGGTAATGTATGGTCACATGGTAATGTCATTATCAAGAATTGAGAGAGCATTGGCCGCAGCTAGTTTCTTGTGATGGCTGTCTTTGACACTCCTGCTCTGTCGTCGCAACCTTCATCGGTCAGGATTGTTTGCCTGCACCTGCATCTATGCACGGTCAAACTGTACGAAAAGGAGGACAGCTCCACTGGTTCGCAGCTCTTGCCCTGAACCATTGATCTCATGCCTTTGTGGCACAATTGGGCGTATAAAATGAACTCCAGGGAGACAGGCATGCAGGCGATCGTGAGGTACAGCCAGCCTAACATGTAGTGACCAAGCCTCCAAGAAAATCTTGCCATGGCAAAAAAGCGACGGCTCAGAGATGTTTAGGTACTTCGATTTCTCCTTAGCTAGCAGCGTTAAACTCTAAAAAGTTTGCTAAAAGAAATCAAAATGCTTCCTTTTCAGTTTCATTTGGGTGCAATGTATGACTCGTATACTAGTTTGCTATTAAATCAACTCTGCATATTTTTGTTGTTGCAGGAATTTTTAGCTACTTTGTCTCCAGAGAGAGGATCCAAATTAAATTAGTTTTCCATGTTCTCTTTGGCTTTCATCTTTGACTGTTTGAACGAATAATGTTCCAGGATTTAATGTTATTTGTTGCTATTTGTTTGAACATTCTATCTTTTCAATTCAGACTGTCTGCCCAGTCGCGGCAGCTGTGTCTTGTCAACACTGCATAGCACAGATAACGTTGCTTTTAATATTTTTGAAGAATTGTTGCTTTTAATTTTCAATGTCGTTGCTTTTGTATGGTGCTACATTTATTATACTCACATGTTTCTTTTGTAGTATGTAACTGGTAGTTGAAATCCATGTTGCTTTTGTGTTTGTGTTACCTTATGGTACACACGCGTCGCTTGTATAGTATGTAACTGTAGTATTGCGCCGCTGGATCTTGTGATTGGGCCTTATCCTTTTTTTTCTTATGATCATCTGAGTCTGAATATTTAGTTTTGGACATAAAATCGGATTTAGTGGATTTGTTAATTACGTGTTCTAGCATTAGTAATCTTTGGGCAAGCTCTGGGAGAGGCAGTCTCTGGGCAAGCTGAGCTAGCTCAATCGATTGCACGCACTGATCTTCTTCGAGGTATGTAGGATGGAATCAGGCCCTTAAGGCATTCAATGGCCAGCATAGAGGGAAGGATTGGTAGATTGGAGGGCAGAGCCACTCTCCCAGAATCCACGGCCCGCTCCCTCTTCCCATCTCCACAGCTGTCGGCAGGTCGACCCCGCTTGACCGGTTTGGTGATGGTGATGACCACCGAGGTGCCGGAAGAAGCCTTAATTTGCCTTATCTTCTTCGAGATAATGTAGAAGATCTTCCAGATACTCACAACACAATGCATATGTTCTTGATCCCCAAACACACACACAAAATCATGTACCTGATTAGTGTGTGTATTCTTGCAGTGCCACTATGGCCATGCGCTGTGCGAAAAGTGCAATATCCTCTGGCAGCGCAACAAAGAAAAATGCTACATGTGTGGTGTCGCCTTATTAGATGGGGCATACGACTGGTGCCACTTTTTGAAACTCCGATGAGTTCCTTACGCCCGGTGTCCGCATGCGGGCTGTAAAGCCACGCCTATCTACCTAGACATCGAGCGTCACCTCCTGGAGAGCCACTGCCCCACTGTCATCACTGCTACTGAAGGCGCAGTTGATCAAGACACCAACTTAAGGGAAACAAGACATCAACTGAAGACACCACCAGCGCTAGCGCGTCCGACCCGCCCAACCCATCCGAGTCACCGCCATGTGGGACAGGACTGGGTGAACCTATATTGAGGTTGTATTGAACCCAGAGGATAAATACAAAATTTGTTCGATAATTATTGAGATGATTAATAATTCATTCATAGGAGTTCATGCTGCGCCACCATGAGAACACGATGCAAGCGCGCCATGGTAAATACAACTCAGTGATTGCAAGTATCGGTATCCATTTACCCGCCTTCTCTAGTTACCCTCCGTGTCGGAATTTACGCTAATAGTCACACGTTAGTCTCCATGGTATGCATTCACCCTAATGGTTCACAGTTACCCTCTAGGGTGTGCACTTACCCACGGAGACAAGGAGAGGAGTCGGCACTCAATGTGGTTGAGGCCAACGAGTGCCTGGGGGGGGTATAACTCCAGGTACCCATGGCAATGGACATGGGCCGCACCGTCAGGGGAGATCCAGCCCATTAGATCAAGGCCTACGGTGCCCAGTTCTGGTCGGCATGCACCGCAAAACAATCAGAAGACATCTTGGTGATGAAGGAAGATCTTTTTGGATATGATAGATATCGTATTCTTGTAAATACTTACTATATATATAACCGAATAGATTTAGGCCTAAACCGACTTGTAACCCTACCCCCAGACTATATAAGGCGGGTAGGGACCCCCTCGAATTCATCTCATATTCAATACAATCAACTAAAGACACATGACGTAGGGTATTACGTCGATCAGATGGCCTGAACCTGTCTAAACCGCTGTCCCTGCGTCCGTGTCACCATCCGGTTTCTATTACGTGCACCTCCACCGATCATCTACTACCGTGGGTATACCCCTCGGTAGACTGTCGACTAGATTTCATTGACAGTGGCGCGCCAGGTAGGGGGTGTGCGTGCTGGTTCTATTGCCAACCAGATGGTCACTTTCTCGAGCTCCATGGCCTTTTTCGAGCCGGGCCAGATCTTCACGGTCGGATCCATGACTTGGATCATCGACCCCGACAGCAATGGGGAGATCATGGAAGCGGTGCAGGATCACCATGCGCTGATCGCGCTAACACTTGCAATGACATCTCCGATCCCACCGCCCCGTCGCTGGGTGAGGAGATCCATCAGCAATGATGATCTGATCGCATCCATCGATCGGGGCACAGACTGCTTAGCAGAATGCCAGCTCCTCATGGGTTCGGTCTTAGATCAATCCAGAGCGAGCGATGAATTTCCCATACTCCAAGATCACCAAGCCGCTACAACCGAGCGACCTGCTCGGCCACTTCGTTCAAGGCGGCCAGATTCTGATCTGGTGATCACGGTAACTCCGGAAGGGCGTACCGTTCAACTCCGACCACTCCCCGCCTCGACGGAGAGCATGCGAAGCCCTATTCTTTTGGGCTGGTGGGTGCAGGTCCGATCTGTCAGGATGCCGTGCACC